TTATACAGCTTTGGTAAAAAAAATTCAATTCCCAATTGCACAAAATTTGCGGCTGTTTATGTTCTTCTGGAATCTTTTAGTGTCGCACATCTGAATGACATCTATTGCCATAATGTGTGTAGGCCACCCATGGGTCCAAGTTGATGGCGTTGCTCCCAATAAACCTCTTGATTCTGCTGTGCTAACTCGTTTGAAGCAGTTTTCTGCCATGGATAGACTAAAAAAGATAGCCGTTAGAGTAAGATAATTCAGCCCTTCAAACTTTTCGCTATGTATTTCTTGGCAAAACAGCAATCAGTTACTTATTTTAAAGTAAATACTGCTTACCCTTAAAAATGAGTAATCTTTTTTTTATTATTATTTATAAGGGTGAAAAATATAAATGCTGGGTTCATTTTATTAATGCAAGAATTTTACTAATTTCATTTCACCATGCTGTGTTGGAGAATACAGTTTTATATGCAAGAGCAAGGAGCAATTTTGTTTCTCGATTAAAGAGCTCCTTTACTATCTGATAGTAATTTGTATCAATCTTAGTGGACCAAATCCCATCAATTGAGTCACTATTTCAAGAAATACGAGACATCTAAGTCATACACGTATATAAATCTATTCATCGATAAAAGAAAGCGTCTTAAGATATATAAATGAAGTACATGTGGCTCTTTTTGACAACTTAAATTTTTAGATGCGACAAGAAGCAAAGGTCCTAGGTTCTATTTTCAGTGTCATCCATTTAATGAAATTGTGTACATGTAAAGCTTTGATGGGAAACATGAACCTCGCATACATGTGGTGGGACGTGTTGAAACAAGATTTAATTGATATGTATGTGGCTCTCTCTAACAATTTAAATTTGGTCAACTGGATGAACGAAGAGAAAAATTGTGAACTGGATCGGCGGAATTGCCACATGAAATGTATCTCAATTTTAAAAAGGAATAGCCCACTTGTGTTTCATTTTACTCCTTTCTTTTTTGACTATATGAAATCCACACTTTGACACCTAAGATTCCGTAACGAGTAGATACTTCCGCAGGAGCATAATCTATTTTCTGGTTAAATACATTACGAGATGTTTTTCCATACTTTCCGCATTCAGTTCTAGCTATTTCTGCACCTTCTGATCGAAAAGAATGTCGTTCCTGGGCCTATAAGACTGCTGATTTGCTTTATTTCTGCTCTTCTCTGTTTAGGGGGAATTTGATAGGATAGAGATCGGTCTTCATGAAACTTTTATTTTTAATTTGGATATAGCTTTAAGAAACCTTTTCCTTGACATTTATAAGAAAGTGAAAAGCAGAAGCATGTTGTCTTGTTGTATAACATATTTTCGTGTGTAGTGCTAGTATATTGGGCATTATATCCTAGTCTTACCATCTCTATTTCCTATACATAGGTTATTGCCGAATGTCTTTCTGAGGAGGAAATTGCAGGACTTAAAAAAAAATGTTTAAAATGATAGACGTGGATAATAGTGGACAAATCACCTTGGAAGAGCTGAAAAATGGTTTGGAAAGAGTGGGCTCCGATCTCAAGGATTCAGAAATAACCAGTCTGATGCAAGCTGTAAGTGCAAAATGGTTAACCTCTTAAGACCTTTTTTCTCTTATTATTCGCAAATTAGTTACATAACAAAAGTCCCGTGAAATTTAACTGGAATACCCATTACTTTCTATCTCATAGTTATTCATAAAGCTATCATTTATGTTAAAATTAGTACCGCAGGAAATGAGCGTGTAGATAATTAGCAAAATTGCTATATATAATGAGCAAAATCATGTTAAAGAATCGTCCATCTCACCCCGTACCCTCGATATAGGGTTGCATTGGACCACCTCTCATTTGGTTAGTGAAATTGACTCCCAGAACCTCATTTTAGACATCGATAAAATTGGCTTCGGTAGAATTTTTCAAGGCAGGACAAGCTCCTCAATTGAGCAATTTAATTGATACTTGAAGTTTAGGTACGTGTTTATCTATAATATATTAAATATCAAATCAAGGATTTTTTTTAACGATTTTAACCCTACTACAATCCAATTATTTCAATAACACTTTTCTTTTTTCGAAGCTCTACAATTGAGCAATTTAATTGATACTTGAAGTCTAAGTACATGTTTATCTATAATATATTAAATATCAAATCAAGGGAGAATCATTTTTTGAATGATTTTAACCCTACTACAATTCAATTATTTCAATAACACCTTTCTTTTTCAATATGTAATAAATACTACAAAATCTTTGTCATATATGAATTTCATATTATGAATTATCAATTAATTAATATTAACATTAATCTAGACTCATAGAATCTTGATCTATATGAATATAGAGTTATTATAGATAAATTTATTTCTATTAATGTATTTAAAAATTTTAATGGGTGTTGAAATTCATGCATTAGCAATTAATTCTTATGTATCAAATGTAATATAAAAAAATTACTCATTTATAGTATTCTATTATTACAAAAATTTGAATTATAGAAGTTGAGTTTTAATAGTAAAATTTTTTCCTTTAAATTTTTATCCTAAATTTTATTTTCTTTAGTTTGTTTGAAACTCATCAAATACACCCAACAAATTAGTATATCAAAATATTACTTATACAGCACTTATAAAATATTTCAGAATAACGTGTAATGCATGTTCAACTCTGACTAGTCATTAAAAGTGTGGGATGTGCTAAATGAGGAATGACGAGATCAAGAAGATTGGTTTTCCTGAATGTTTCAACACCTTTGCTTTCTTCACCGGTAAAGCTTAGGTTACATGGCATTTACATGGATTTAGTATTGGAACCAAATAGTTTTTCAATAATCAAACAATGGACTATACCTTGAACCTTGCGATATTCATAAACTAACATAACCTAGACGATTATCAATGACATTAGATCCTCTTCATACTTGATAAGAATCGCGTTTTTTTTAAAATTGAATGCTATACTCATTAAAAATCTTTTTTGATAATACAGGCTGATGTTGATAACAATGGAACCATAGACTACAAGGAGTTTGTAGCAGCAATGCTCCACCTAAATAAAGTTTAAAAAGAGGATCACGTGTTCGCAGCCTTTTCATAGTTCGACCAAGATGGAAGTGGATACATCACCTATGATGAGCTTCAATAGGTTTGCGAGAAATTTGGTGTCGGAGATGTTCAACTAGAAGAATTCATCCGTGAAGTGGATCAAGATAACGTATACTCTTGATCTTTTTTCCTTAGCATTTTTGAGCTTGTTTGCATAGCTACTTACGGATAACATTACTAGAAATGTAGTGGAAAAATCCTGTCTCAAACTTTTTTCCCTCTCCAGGATGGTCAAATTGATTACAGTGAATTTGTGGCAATGATGCAAGACATTGGTTTTGGAATAAAGGGGTTGTCAAAAAGTTGAAGGATGGGGCCAAGAAATGCTCTTAAGCCTGATCATCACTGAAAATATCTCGTCAATTGCTGAGTATTAATAGAAAAAGAAATTTTTTGTGCTTTTCTATTGTAAGTGCTTTTCGATTGTAAAGAAAAGATTAGTGAAGATCCAGACATGTATAGTGAGTTTTCTTGTCCCTCTTAGTGTGTTCATTTTGTATCTGTTGTATGGTTATTGGTTTGTTCTTAGTTTTGAAAATTGGGTTATAATTCTATAAATTCTTTTTCAATTATTTTACTTATCTTTTCCATCCATTTTGAGTGATCGTTTTAACTTGAAATAATTACGACTTAAACATCCGTTTGACATTGTCATAATATAACTTGTGATTATAATAACTTGATCATTTAATAATACAGAATATCTAATTTAGGCATGTAAGCCGATACCAATAAACCTCATGCTAAGTTTAGATGTCGTCTCTTTTCGCCCAGTAAGATATTATTCATAAAATATGACAAATTACTTAGCCCTTGTTTGAGCCACATTATTTTCTTTAGAATGATTTTTTGAATAGTGTATTGATGGGAAATATTTGGTTAAAAAATAAAGAAAAATTTTGAATTTACGTGTAAAATTACTTTATTGAAGAATATGTTATTGAAATTATGTCAAATCACTGTTTAAGAACATATTTTTAAAAAAAAATTTGACTTGAACATGCCCTTAATATGCCCCCATCATATCATAAGCAGTTTGTGCTTCTTGTACAAACATGTAATTAAGCTGAACCAGTAGGATATATTTCATCCGACCAATATAGAAATATGAAAATATACAAATATCTTATCTTCCAGCTGGGTTATTCCCGAATTGGGACGTCGAGTTCCACTTGAACCCTTTTTATTTGCCTAGATAATACAAAGAAAAAGTGTCATTTCAATCGCTCTCAATAGACAAATATCTTATGTACCACCAATAGTTATATTTAACTGAATTCTGACCATTCTCCATTTTTTTTTTCAAAAAATATATTTTGAAATAGTGTTATGATGGAGAATGTGTGATTTAAACTCTTGTTTGATCCCCATTTTGGAGAAAGTAATGCATTTTGAATAGTAGTTTGATGGAGAATGTGCGGTTAAAAATTTAAAAAAAATTTTGAATTTACGTGTAATATTATTTTATTGAAAAATGTGTGGTTAGAAATGAGTTTTGAAAAAATGAATTTTTAGAAAAATGTGAATCAAACAAGGGCTAAAAATGAGGAAATTTTTTTGAATTTACGTTTAATTTGTTTTTATTGAAAAATATGATTGAAATAAAGTCAAATCGCTCGTAAAGAAATGTATTTTGATAAAAAAAAAAAAAAAAAATGATGCTGCATTGAATAACAGCACTCAAAAAGCGCCAAGGAAATTGGATCCAATGCCCAATTCCCAATAATTTCAGTTTTATCAACTCAGCGAAATTGAAGATATTCCAAACAATCTGTTCAATGCTACGGTTTGGTACCGTTATTCCCATTTCTTCATATTCCTCCATCACTTGTTCTTGCATCAACAATCATCCCCACCATCCCACCTCTCTCTCTACTAGTGTGGTACGAGAGCCCTATCTCCCTCTCTCCACATTTACATACATGTATGCATATACTATAGTTGTTTTGTGGGCTGGACACGTGTATACATGTGGGATCGAATCTTTTCATTGGGAGAACTTGATTTGTGTTTGTTATTGGAATAAAATTGAGTTCTTTTAGTGGGTTAGTTGTCTGGAATCAGATGAATTTGGATTGAATGCAATCGAAATGTTATGGGTTTTTAATTTTGTTCTCCATTTAGTATTAGTTGTGTGATAGAAGTTGAAGATTGCTCTCTGTTATTTCATTTCCCGGGTACCTTCATCTCTCTCTCTTAAATAATTTGTTGGTTTAGCATATGAAGTCGCTTGATTAGTTGTTTACGAATTGATAACTAAAATAAAGATCAATTTTTTTTCTGGCATTTTTAGCTGTTTCTAGAACATGAACGAGATGGTACTGTGTTTTTGGGACGAATCTAATGGAATTTGGAAAATTATTTTTTGATCCATACGGATTTCTCTAATCTCGATCCTTATGCCTGGCTCAAAGTATAGAGCAATAATTATCCTGGAACGAGTTACTGTGAATTTGCATTTTTCCTTTTGATTAGAAGCAAGATAGAATTTATTATCTATATAGCAAAATTGTGTTGAAAGCACGAGAATAGACAGCACTGATGACATAGTGAATTGTGATGTGCGTGTACTCTGCATCATTTATTTGATAATTGGAAATGTTGAGACAGATATTATCACAAAAACCAAAAGTTGTCTCTTTGTATATATCCCAAGTTTCTAAGAAGGATAGGAAGTTGGAGAAGATGAAGGACAAAATGTCTCAAGTCGTAGATGTACTCAGTGAATTAAGATATAATGGTCAAGCATTTATATATCTTTGTTGGAAAATATTGCTAATATACAGTAAATATTATTTGATGGATGAGAGGAACCACTAAATAAATTAAGTGAATAATATCTGTTTAGATCATTTATATAGCACCATCCAGTCTTCATGTAAGTCCACTTGCCAGTTGATCTTCTGCTATAGCCTTGATTCCGAGCAAGGAACGTATTTCTTTGATGCTTTTTTTGTGGTCGATTAGTATCTATATTAAATCTGGTAGTGGTAGCTGTGAATATTGAGCTGACACATGTTGGACTATGTTATTTGTTTTGAAGATGCCTTTGTGGGATCTAATCACAAACAACTTTTATTTCCTGGCATTTTGATGTTCAATATTTTATGCTATTATCTCATTTCAAAATTGTAGCTATACGAGATATACTACTCGCTAATCTATATTTGGCTGTGGAACAGCAAGGTCATGTTCACATCCAGATGCCTTTTACTTCTGTGTCACATAACCTATCGAGCTATCATTCTTCTGGGCATCATTTACAATAACATAAATCACTTTATGAGACTTAATTCCTTTTTGCCTAAAAATCAAACTAATGCGCCATAAGCCCCTCTGTTCTTTCTCTTAGTTTATTATTGATAGAACTTACCTAGGAGGAGGGTTGTGTAGTTCAATTAGTAGAAGTTTGAGCACTGGATTCTTTGGTCATATTTAATGTTTTTGCTTTCATGTTCAATTTTAATTGCAGAGTGAAGCTAGTCTTAAGGCAACCATGAATCGGCTTGCTGGTGTTGCGCGCCTAATGATAGTCTCAGATCTTGATCATACAATGGTTAGTTCTTCTTGTTTTTCCTAGTCACTCGAATTGGATTGGACTAATATGAAACTCTCTGTTGTAGGTTGACCATCATGATCTTGATAACCTCGCTCTACTCAGGTTTAACGCTTTGTGGGAGTCCAATTATCGTAATAATTCCTTGTTAGTGTTCTCCACTGGAAGGTCACCTACACTGTACAAAGAATTAAGGAAAGAGAAGCCCTTGTTGGTCCCAGATATCACAATAATGTCTGTGGGAACAGAAATAACATACGGTAACTCTATGATACCAGATGGTGGTTGGATTGAAATTTTAAATCAGAAATGGAACAGGAATGTAGTTTCAGAAGAGACGAAAAAAATTTCTGAACTTACTCTTCAGGTATAGTTATAGAAACTAGTGTCTGGTTGTTGATACATACATATGATTAACACCTTTTCAATACATTAAACTTGTAGACACATGTTGAGTGCACCAAATTTCATGCATCACTACTTTAAGATGATCTTGATAGTACTTTTATGCGATTCAAGATAAAAATACTTTTGCATGTGAACTATCTGTATTTTGTTTACCTTTTGGAGTCATGCAGTCTGAGACAGAGCAACGACCCCACAAAGTAAGCTTCTACATTCAGAAAGACAAGGCAGAGGACATAATGAAAGTTCTTTCTACACGTTTGGAAGAACGCGGGGTATGGTGAAACTTTCTTTCTGCAGTAGAAGTTTGACAAGATCAACAGTGATATATTTGCATAAAACCCAGTTACTTTATGGCTAGTGGAGATGAATGCAAAGCTTTCATCTTCTTGATTATACTTTGTCTTTGCAAGCAGCATTCTGACCTTCTGCTTTGCTGTTGTCAGTTGGATGTCAAAATAATCTACAGTGGAGGAATGGACTTGGATATCCTGCCACAAGGTGCTGGCAAAGGGCAAGCACTTGCTTATCTGCTAAAAAAATTCAAGGCTGAGGGTAATTTGCCTCATAATACACTTGTTTGTGGCGACTCGGGAAATGATGCCGAACTATTTAGCATTCCAGATGTACACGGTGTCATGGTTGGATTTTCACTAATTTTTCATTACAAGTTTATAAAGATTTTTTGGATCTTCTGTTGACAAGTGCTGTGTGAACGTGCTTTACAATTGCAGGTCAGCAATGCTCAGGAAGAATTGTTACAGTGGCATGTTGCTAATGCAAAAGATAATCCAAAAATAATTCATGCAACAGAGAGATGTGCCGCTGGTATTATACAAGCCATTGGTTACTTTAACCTGGGTCCCAGTAAATCTCCTAGAGATGTCACGGATTTATCCGACTCTAAGATGGAGAAATTCGATCCTGCTTATGAAGTTGTGAAATTTTACTTGTTTTATGAGAGATGGAGACGTGCAGAAGTTGAGAATTCTGAGCTTTATTTCGCTAATCTGAAGGCAGTTTGTGTATGTTTGATTTCTTTCTAACTTCTGCAGCTTCTACTTTTATGTGCACACTTAGTAAATGTTTTGGCATATCTGTTTTATAGGAGTGTTGAAATTCAAATTAGGACATTTAAAATGACCCACATTTTATTTTGTAGGTATTTGATTCATGTATTGTTTGTTCATAATAGGCTGCCTGTTTTTATAAGTTTTAAAGCTGATAATTCATTTCATATGTGGTTTTGCTATTGCTAGGCATTACATAAAAAATAAAAAAATAAAAAAAATGAAAATTAGTTGCTACAACTTGACCAGCTTGACTGAGTAAATAGGTTTGTACAAGACAGACACATAAAAAAGTTCTTTTTTATCTGTTTTGCCTCCTCATTTTTATAATTCAACGCATCAATGGAAGCAAGGACAATCAAGACAACAAGAGGATGCTGGTCATGATATGTTTTGGGGTTACCTTTCCCAAGAAAGACATTATTTGATGTGTGAGAAAGACATAATTTTGGAGTGGTACAATTAGGCCTTCCCTTCAGTTGGTCACTGGGAACTGTTGTTTTATGTGATCAACTGCATGAATGCACATTTTGCTTCTAGATTCTTGTTTTCCATCTCTTGAACCCAAGTTCAGAAACTGTCCTGGTTGAGAAAAAAAAAATTGCCATCTGTTTGCCGCAAGACTGGTTCAGGCTCAGGCAGAACTCCCATTAAGGTTTTATTCCCTTGGTCTTAATGTTGGTAATTCATGCTACTTGATTAAACCCTTACAAGTTCGATTACGGTAGGGTTCAATTATAATAGGAGATGTATTCTTCATAAACTTGAAATAATTTTTGAAAATCTAATTATTTGTAGAATCCTTTAGGAACCTTTCTCCACATATTTTACCAACTTGCCTACATTTTAGCATGAGTTGAGCTTATTTTTGTTTTTATTTATTCAAATTCCTTGTTGAGCGTTTTTTATCACTATCTTGCTCTCTCAGTGTCCATCAGGCATTCTTGTCCACCCCTCTGGCATCGAGCAATCTCTTCATGACTGCATAAACTCATTGAGACAATGTTATGGGGACAAACAGGGGAAACAATTTTGGGTTTGGGTGGATCAGGTTTTATTTTCACAGCTTGGTTCGGACTCATGGCTAGTGAATTTCAAGAAGTGGGAGCAATCTGGTGAGCCTCTCTCCTTGTTTTGGTCAACATTATGTTCACTTCCCCTGAAAAGGTCTTTATTTATATTAAATCCTGTATGCGCTGTTGAATACCCACCTATAGCAACACTCGAGGTGTTCAATGGGGTCATCTTACATTCTCTAATCAGATTTGATATTATGATAAAGCACTTATTTTGTGGGAACTTCAACATAGTGCACGATGTAACAGAATAGTATACGATTACATTCATGTTTGAGTTTCAGTCTGATGGGTATATGTAACATTATCCATATCACTGAACTTTTAGATTCTGCTTGTGCTTATGCTTCGAAGGCGAGAAGTCACTTTATGGAAACTAACTACCTATTCTTGTTAATCCTACTTGGTTCCACCTGTTCTTGCAGTTATATGATATTTGTCCATTGTCATTTGAAAATCGGGTATTCACCTACTTATTCAATTTGTTTTCAATTTTAAGTCCTATGTTGCTGGAATTTTTTATATTGTTCCGATACATAACACGCCATAGTTATATCATATTTTTGATTCTACCATCCAGTTTGAATTTGGTAAAAAAAGTTGATGTTTTTTTTTCTCTAGCTTATTTTAACTGTGTGCTGTCTCATAGTGGAACTTCTGTTGAGATGTGGCAGAATGGTAAACCCTCTAGTTAGAATAGAATTTGACTTGCAAGATGTCAACTGAAATAATGCAACATACTTGTCTAGCATGAAAAATGTTCTCGTAGCATAGATGGTTCCACGAACTACTCTAGTTATAATTAGATAATTAACGCCTTATCACGTCCTTGTACTATGCTCAAGGCTCTCGGATGAGTGGCAAGAGCAACTTTTAATTTATTATGAGCCTTGTTTTTTAAGGAACACCAACTTGTGAAAATAACGTTTTTCTTCTGGATTGTCAAGTAATTCAAGCATAAAAGATGCTTCTTTTTCTGCGGGTGCTGACAGCTGACTCTCTCGTGCAGGTGAAGAACGGAAGGGTTGTCTGACGACTGCTGTATTAAGTTCAAAAGTAAGGTTTCTATTTGTAGAGCCGAACTTTCTTCCTTCAAATGAGATCTTTGTTGGTAACACGTTTAAAATTTGCTTCCAGGATGTGACTGTTGCAAAAGGGCTCACTTGGCTTCATGTCCATCAAACATGGTTGAATGAAGCAGGTTCAAGCAATGGAATTTCCTGGTTATTCTAGATCGCACCCTCAGCTCAACACCGGTATTCTACCATCTGATGTGTTTTCTCAGAATAAATGCGAAGTCACAATATAGCTATCATACTTCTTGTACTCCTCCTTACATTGATATTTCATGTATCACTCCCAACTGCACGAGAATGGCTTCATTCTCCATTATATACGATTTTCTTTTAAATTACTAGCAAGATACTCTCTTTAAGATCACTTCACTTTGTATGTCCCGCTTTTGACATATCTGAAGACGGGATCATCGAGCTAATGGTGGATTTTCAAAACAGCCTCAGATAGATTCAATTATATAGTAGATTGAAATGCAAAAGTAGAACAATTCATGGAATTAGTATGCATTATATTAGGGAGATGAGATGAAATTCAAGGGATCATCTTGAACGAAGAATTATTGAATAGCAATGACTACTTGAAGTGTTACATTATAAGTGGAAGGTTTTATTGACATGTTTGGTACGCACGATTCAATATTACCAAATAGTAATAATAAAAAGAAAGATTAAAATCTTGTTTATTATATTGTTCAGTATTGCATACCAAACATTTTATATGACTGAATTAGTGCATCGAGTTGGTCTTTCGAGCAATCTCTTCATGACTGCATAAACTCATTGAGACAATGTTATGGGGACAAACAGGGGAAACAATTTTGGGTTTGGGTGGATCAGGTTTTATTTTCACAGCTTGGTTCGGACTCATGGCTAGTGAATTTCAAGAAGTGGGAGCAATCTGGTGAGCCTCTCTCCTTGTTTTGGTCAACATTATGTTCACTTCCCCTGAAAAGGTCTTTATTTATATTAAATCCTGTATGCGCTGTTGAATACCCACCTATAGCAACACTCGAGGTGTTCAATGGGGTCATCTTACATTCTCTAATCAGATTTGATATTATGATAAAGCACTTATTTTGTGGGAACTTCAACATGGTGCACGATGTAACAGAATAGTATACGATTACATTCATGTTTGAGTTTCAGTCTGATGGGTATATGTAACATTATCCATATCACTGAACTTTTAGATTCTGCTTGTGCTTATGCTTCGAAGGCGAGAAGTCACATTATGGAAACTAACTACCTATTCTTGTTAATCCTACTTGGTTCCACCTGTTCTTGCAGTTATATGATATTTGTCCATTGTCATTTGAAAATCGGGTATTCACCTACTTATTCAATTTGTTTTCAATTTTAAGTCCTATGTTGCTGGAATTTTTTATATTGTTCCGATACATAACACGCCATAGTTATATCATATTTTTGATTCTACCATCCAGTTTGAATTTGGTAAAAAAAGTTGATGTTTTTTTTTCTCTAGCTTATTTTAACTGTGTGCTGTCTCATAGTGGAACTTCTGTTGAGATGTGGCAGAATGGTAAACCCTCTAGTTAGAATAGAATTTGACTTGCAAGATGTCAACTGAAATAATGCAACATACTTGTCTAGCATGAAAAATGTTCTCGTAGCATAGATGGTTCCACGAACTACTCTAGTTATAATTAGATAATTAACGCCTTATCACGTCCTTGTACTATGCTCAAGGCTCTCGGATGAGTGGCAAGAGCAACTTTTAATTTATTATGAGCCTTGTTTTTTAAGGAACACCAACTTGTGAAAATAACGTTTTTCTTCTGGATTGTCAAGTAATTCAAGCATAAAAGATGCTTCTTTTTCTGCGGGTGCTGACAGCTGACTCTCTCGTGCAGGTGAAGAACGGAAGGGTTGTCTGACGACTGCTGTATTAAGTTCAAAAGTAAGGTTTCTATTTGTAGAGCCGAACTTTCTTCCTTCAAATGAGATCTTTGTTGGTAACACGTTTAAAATTTGCTTCCAGGATGTGACTGTTGCAAAAGGGCTCACTTGGCTTCATGTCCATCAAACATGGTTGAATGAAGCAGGTTCAAGCAATGGAATTTCCTGGTTATTCTAGATCGCACCCTCAGCTCAACACCGGTATTCTACCATCTGATGTGTTTTCTCAGAATAAATGCGAAGTCACAATATAGCTATCATACTTCTTGTACTCCTCCTTACATTGATATTTCATGTATCACTCCCAACTGCACGAGAATGGCTTCATTCTCCATTATATACGATTTTCTTTTAAATTACTAGCAAGATACTCTCTTTAAGATCACTTCACTTTGTATGTCCCGCTTTTGACATATCTGAAGACGGGATCATCGAGCTAATGGTGGATTTTCAAAACAGCCTCAGATAGATTCAATTATATAGTAGATTGAAATGCAAAAGTAGAACAATTCATGGAATTAGTATGCATTATATTAGGGAGATGAGATGAAATTCAAGGGATCATCTTGAACGAAGAATTATTGAATAGCAATGACTACTTGAAGTGTTACATTATAAGTGGAAGGTTTTATTGACATGTTTGGTACGCACGATTCAATATTACCAAATAGTAATAATAAAAAGAAAGATTAAAATCTTGTTTATTATATTGTTCAGTATTGCATACCAAACATTTTATATGACTGAATTAGTGCATCGAGTTGGTCTTAAAGGTGAATATATTCAAATACTTGTAACCGCTGCTCTAAAAAGCAAGCATTGACAGCGCCTAGATGTCGCCAATGCTCGATGCGCTGCGGAAACGCGAAGCCAAGTAGCTTGGCGCCTTATTTAACGGTCAACAGCAGTCTTTGACAGCTATACTCGCCTAGGCGTGATTATGCGCACCTAGGCACACATAATTATCTTTTTTTTTTAATATTTTTTTTATTACAATTCTTTTAAAGTTAAGACTTAAATATTAATTTCCTTACTTCGTCGGTTCTAAATTCAAAATAGCCGTTTGAAAAAAGGAAATTTCCCAAAAATATCTATTTATTTACATTTGGAACTTATTTTTTTGTTAAAAACTTTGAAAAAATGTATAAATTTCCTATAAATTTTTTTAGATGTTTGGCGAGTATTATTTTTAATTATTAAACGATTTTTCCACTGATTAAAAATTAAAATAAGAAAACGCATTTTTACGCCTATGTTTTGTCTAAGCGCGCTTAGCCAATAGCTTGGTTTTCATGCATTACGCCTTTTAGAGCACTCTTGTAACCTAAAAATGAATTTAATAAGTTAAAAATAAGTACTAGTAGCACGATCATAATCTACACCATGATCTTTTTGAATCACAACTAAAGGTGAAGCAAGTGAATACCACATGCCCTATGTTGTACCAATTCATGATCATTTCGTCATCTTTTTTCAATTGTCACCTAATCCTCCAATACAGTCAAGAATCGAGAGCCATCCAATGAGTGGATGACCGAATATAGCTTGTTTATAGAAAGAAAATAGGTCGATCGAAGAAAAACAAGGCTCAACAAGCTCTCAACTCCTAGCCAATATATAGTTTTATTTGGGAGATCGAACTACACAAAGAAATATGTTTCTCTCATGTAATTTTGTTCGCAGATTCATTTCTAAGTATAACCAAATCTACGCTGCTCCAACACGTTTTTACACCTCTTTTCAACATTTCCCTCTTAAATGCCCCAAATGTTTCATTTAATGACAAATTTCCCAACTTTCTGAATTTTATTGAATTTTTTTCAAAGATACAATATCTAATTCAAGTATTGAAATTAAATCGACCATCTCCTCAATTTCCAGTAGTCGAACTCCTGAACCTTGAATTTTTAAAGAAAATATTTTTTTTTTCTTTTCAACTTTGTTTCCTCAATATGCAATAGTGTTGTTATTTTCAGAGAAAAAATAATAATAATAAAACAAACAAAGCAATTCAATTTAAACCGCTTGAAATCTAAATGCCAAAAGCCAAAGAAACACGTTTCCAATTAAATTCTAGACAGCAGCAAAAACAGAAATTTGAAAAGAAAAATAAAAGGGCCCAACCGGGTTCGAACCGGTGACCTCTTGATCTGCAGTCAAATGCTCTACCACTGAGCTATGGACCCCCGGTGATGTTTCACCTGAACATAAGTATATCAATTCACTTTTCATTTTTCTATTTATTAAATAGAAATATACTTATTTTTAGAAAAATATAAATATTAATTAGCTTTGAAAATTTTAGACTGACGAATCAATTCCTTTATAAATTTTTCTTGTAAAATATCATAAGCTCCTTAAAAAAAAATAAAAAATAATTACGAAAATAATATTGGTACAATTGGGCATTAGGTTGATTCAATTTTAGCTGAATTGTTTCAAAAATCGAGATTTTCTTTGTGAATTGTTAATTTATTCTACTCAACTATTAATGTTTATGTTGTGAATATTTGATCCAATATAATCAGTTTTCTTAAATCCTAAAATAAAAAATATAAGGATAAAATGGTCAATCGAATGCTTCTCACTCATTTACACTTTTTATATATTATAGATTTTTTGACAAGCAAAAACTTTCGTTTGGCTTAAAATAATAATTAAATGAAACGTAGATTAATTTTGAATCCGCCTTTGGTCTGCATCTTGCGCCCTTTAAAGTATACAATTATGCTATACGTACACAGACGCGTCCTCACAAAAAGGGGGCCCATGCTATTTTCTATTGGGTGTAGGCCCTTCCTCATGTGAGGGGCATGTACCTCGGCATATCAAAACTGGTGTGCAAATATCAAAATTCTAAAGTATATTACCTTAGAGATCTTTGTCCCCGTGTGTCAATCCCTCGATGGTTGAAATTGTGATGGCATGGGCAATGACTTGCTCTCTTGTCGGAAATTGGTAGAGACGTGCTTTGGCGGGTACATTTCGTGGATAAAGGTGCAAGTCACATAGATATGCGATGGTGTGGGCGATAATTGTAAAGTTGAGATTTGATGTCTATTTATACTATTCAATTTGTTGCCCACTCAATTGTAAATTGACACATAATGAAAAATTAAAGTTGTCATCAATTTTTAATTTTTCATGATTTGTCTATTTACAATTGGATGGACGACAAAAATGAATAACAGATCTCAACTCATAATTGTATTGGTAGTGAACTGATATAGACATGGCACGGGCACGTAGACTCGAAATTCAAATAAGGCAGCAAATGAATTGATTTCCATCTAAGTGACTCAATTCAGTTGGTGGCGAATATATCTCTTGATCACATGGTACTAATAAGTCACGTACAATCTGTTTTGAAGTATGTCGAACGATCATTTGGCATGTTGGGTGGTTTTCAGCGAGTTTTGGAAGAAAATTGTAAACATAGCAATTGGGAACTATCAATTTTATATATATATATATATATATATATAATNNTTATATATATATAAATATATATATATAATAATAATAATAATAATAATAATAATAATAATAATAATAATAAGGTAGTGAGTGCTTTTATCGTGATCCTTAATTAACTTTATAAAGTTGTTCTTTTATTCTTGGACAATTTCTTTTGTACCATTTATTCTTTGATTAGACATTGGTGTGGGATTGCAGTAGGGCGAATAGTCATTTTCATTCCCAGTTTGCAGGGATTTTCAGGAGAAGGAACGGAGTTAAAAATCCTCATTAATTGCTATTTAAAATAATTATTTATTATTTTAATAATATTTTATATATTTTTTAAATACCATTTAAATTGAAAAACATAAATGTAAAAATAAAATTAATGAAATAAAAATTTCAGAAGAGACTTAGAGAATTTGAGGAGTAAATCATGTTCACTGTCTCCACCCTGTTTACCATTAGTAAGGAGCAGTACAAAACGGATCATTTTGTCATCTCCATAATCGTGCAATTCAACTGCAAGTTTATCAACTCGTATGCAATTTGCATTACATAACCTTTACGTATGATTTTTCCAGAATATGTATCTAAACATTTATCGGATGCACATCTACTCAATCCTTTTTATCTACACAATCTACAAGACTCGTCACCTAAATTATCATTTTAATTCTTCCAGACAAGGGCTAAGATTTTTTATTTATTTTTTTAAATTAACTTTTTCATTAAAAAAAAAGGTAACTTTAGCTAAGCCGTTGACAAGAAATTATAAACATTTTAATTAATAAATAGAAAAAAAATTGTACATAAGTGAATTTAATAATTCTAGCTGATTCATTAAAATGTGATTGTTTATAATAAAATTTATAATTTTGGCTAAAAAACAACAGTTCTCTACTTGACTGGAAAAACAAATCCAGAAAGCCACAGTAAAGCAAACTAAAACAAAGAATACAGAAGTAAATTATAATAATATTTTTACAGTTCAAATTTCACTTCTTCGTGAAGAACTCCTCCAGAAGCCGGCACTGTAAAATTTATCCCACATTTCTTTCTCTAGTTCAATTATATCCCTGTCTGAATCTGATTCTACGCCATGTTCTGATATGGATTGGATTTGGAGTTCACTCTCGTCACATCCACACTGGTGCGGTGGCAAAAGCCCTTTCTTGATCAGTCTACGGCGGCGCTTCCTCCTCAACGCCTTCCGGCATAGCCCTGCCGGCAACTTGTACACCACCAATACCAGGAGGTTCACCAACCCACATGGGCAACAGCAGCACACTGCTGCACACTCCGCCGCCGTCCCACCTGCCACCTCCGCACATGTTACGCCGCTTCTCGACGAGCAGCCATGATTTTTCAGTAGCGGTTTCCGCCTGTACACCGATGACAGCGTTGCCCGCAGCACAATTTGTCTAGTCATTCCTTCACCAATTATTTCACCTGCACCTTGACCCGCCTATGAAGCATAAAAATTAAACAAATTTTTAATATTCTTCAATACTTTTCAGTTTCTATGCAATAATCTAACAGAACCCACAAAAGGAATCATCAAAAAACCTCAAAAGAGCGTGGGTGATGGTGAGCGTTGGGGTGTCAACGGCAGGGCTACACAGAAAACACGGCGGATCGGGCTGAGGATCCGGCGGAGGAAGATAGAAGAAGAGTCCGACGACTGTAGGAATGTTCTTTTTTTGTGTGTGAAACTGATTGTATTGATCAGTTATACTCGAGTGACTCCGCAATAGTCAGACGACGTTGGAGAGAATATTAAATTGTATTAAAAAGTCATTATAATTTGAAAAAGTGTCATTATTAAGATAAGATTTGCGTGATTAAAGTGGGATTTTATTTGGTGATTTATATAATGAGTGTTGACCGCTATAGAAAATTCAAGATTTGGTCGTGATATTTACTCGAGGTGAAATTTCACAAGCCTTGAGTAAATTTTGTTTGTGGAGCCCATCATTTTGTAATAACAATTCAAATTTTCATGTAATTTAGATCCTCATTGTCATCCAAATCAAGTTTAAGATCGAAATCGAGTTATCAATTGTTTAAATGTCAGATTCATCAAATCTGGCTTGGTGATATTCGAGAAGATGACACTATTATTTTCTTCTTTTAGTTTTCGTTTTTTATTGCATACTTTATGTTGATTAAGAACGTGGATGAAATTACTTACTAATACAGGCTTGTCATTTACTTTAACATCTTTTTTGATCTAACCATTTGAGTTTATTGATCATGAGCACTTCAGCGCTGGTAGTCCTAGCAAGCGTTAACGATAGGTTTAAACTAGATAATAAGAAGAGCGTAAATGATTCTATTTAAATATTTTTATTTTTATTTTTTTTGAAGTAAATAGTTTAAAATAATTTGAGAGAACCCTAATTCAAAACCAAATCATTTTATCAACAAAAACATCCTTAAAATGCTTAATTTAAAAATATAATTATATAAATGCATGATACACAATATGAGACGTATATGATATTAAACAGATGATTTCAAAAATACGAGTTCTGTTCGATGATGAATTTTAGTCCTCCTAATTTGATGTAGTTATTTTTTATTTTTTATTTTTAATAATTCTGATAGAAATTGATTAAATATGTGATTGAAAAGTTATAAATATCATAAAATGTATTATTAAAATTAATTATGGACTTTAATTTAAATTTAAATTAATATTATAATCTACCACAAGAGTTGGACAGAACTGCTTTTCCAATGCTACTCATCAAATTGGTGAGATTTTTCGTCCCGTGGAGGTGTGTTGTACTTTGCAGTTGAAGAGTCAGAGTCAGTGTGGAGATCTGAGGTGCATTAGTGCGAGTTTTGCTTGGCAATGGGCCCCGTTTGCCACGTGCCCAGGACAAACAGGGCCACGTGTTTAGAATTATTGGGTGCATTAAGCTCAGGTGGTTTCACAGGCAGAATGATTCGAACATGGAAATAGGGTCTCCCTCCTTATTCCTTTTTTGTTTTTTGATATCCAAGTATCCCAACTTACACTACACTAAATCTTGGACTCTCAAAATCCTTGCCCCTAGAACCTTGGGGGGATAAATCGCGGGCTATACGTCAATTGAATCACAGGTTCTCCCCACCGCCTGTACACTTCTGCGCACAAGAGATCCTACTGCAAAATGATTGCTCCATACCAAATAAATCTGACCGCAGGTTCCCACCAAGATTCGAACCTCCACCCTGCCGTTGAAAGTAAGACTAATGTTGATTGATCCACCAGTTGAGATGTGCCCCGGGAGGCAAATCCCTCCTTATTCTTTCCTATGTCTTGTAAATGTTCTTTACCCCGCAACATTAGTAATGTTATTTAACATCGCTAATGTTAAACATTAATTTAAGTGACAACTGAATGATATTTAGGCCCCGTATGTTTTTCATTAATGTAAGAATGAGAATGAAAAATATAGTCGATAGGTCCCCACACAAGAGATAAAAATTTAAATATGGTGACTTGATGTGATGGATAACGATCATATTTTTCATTTTAATGGCCAAATAATGAAAAACAAACAGAGGCTAAATGATATATTCACATAAAAGTAATATCACATGATTCATTTAATTGAACTTATTAAGTATAATCACCTAAATTGGTGTTCTAATTATACTAATACTAGATAGCATTAACTTGTACGGTGCGTTTTCTAATCACCAATTGAATTGAAAAAGTCTTTAAATGAAGAACCAATACAAATCATATAAAAAAAAAGTGATATTTATTTTTGTTGGAAATAAATATTTATTCATGTTCGTGACTTGTGAGTGTTAAGGAATAAATATAATGTTAGTTATAAAGTTTGTATCCCGTTTCGAAAAGAATTTATAAACAAATGAACATGAATGATAGATAAGTGAGTAATATTTATATATTTATTGACATGTGCGATTGAAAATGAAGTTTGACCAAATTAGAAATGATTTAAAAATTTATCAAACAAATACATAAATAATTAACCACTCGTCGTGATTTTTAAAAAGTTATTTAGAGATTGTTTGAGCCCTCCCCTCACCCCACCAAAATTGCATTTTGAAATGGTGATTTAATAGAGAATGCGTGGTTAAAAAATAATGAAAGGTTTTGAATTTATGTGTAATATTATTTTATTGAAAAATATGTGGTTCAAAAAAGAAAAGAGAAAAATGTATTTTGAAAATAATGTGGACCATACAAAGGCTTAGAGCTTGTTTGATACAGATTTTAAATCAATTAAAATTAATTTTTGACCGTTATTTCACTATGACAATCGTCATTTTTGAATTGTTCTCTCACGGATGGGACCTACTTTATTTCTAACAGTCAAAAAATCAATTATCAAAATTCTTACCAAACAAGAATAATGCTATTCGTAGTCATTCACCATGACAATTGTCTTACGTGACACACATATGATATGTAGTTATTTGATACATTAATGTGACGATTTTTTATTGACTCATATATCAAATAATTACCTGCTATGTGTGCTACATATGGTAATTGTTGTAGTGAACTACTACTAATAACATTGTTCAAATGATATATACAAAAAACATAAAGAGAGATAATGTAAAAATGTGGACGGAAGTTGGCAAATAATAAAAGATACGAACATGTTTGAGCTCCATTATTTTTCAAGAATGCATTTTGGAATAATAGATTAATGGAGAAAGTGTGGTTAAAAATAAGAAAAAAATTTGAATTTACGTGTAATATTATTTTATTAAAAATAGTAAAACTAAGTGTTAAAAATAAATAGATTGCTGGACTATTTAAAATTTTCAACTCTCCAAATTTATAGATGTTATATAAATTGTAAAATGTGTTCTTTAAATATAGAGAGCTTCTCGAAAATACTCTAAATATTATAACCTTATGTGGCATCTTCGATTTTTTTTTCTAGGTTCTCTTGTTATTTAAACCTTACAAGGTTTTCCTAGCAAAAGATAAAAATGGCAAGGTTTATGAAAATCCTCTTTTTCTTTATTATTTTGAATTGTCTTAGAAAATCTAGTCTGTTTGGGAGTGATTTTGAGAATTAATTTTTTGATCGTTAGGAGAAAAGTGGGGTCCACCTGTGAGAGAAGAAGTCAAATATGACGGCTGAAATAGTGAAATAACGGTCAAAAAATCAATTTTTTGGTAGAAAAAATCACTCCCAAACAGTCCCCTATTCATTCTAATTTTACCAAATTAGTTATACAATAAAATATGGTGCATCAAATGGAACTTTAATGTCTTACAAGGTTTAAATAGCTAAAAAATCTAATTTAGTCAATATTTGACCCTCATTCTTTAAAAAAATAATGCTATTTAGTATCAGCATTTTTGAACATCAATTTAGACATCAGCATATCATAAGTCCTATTAAATAAGTCATAATTTCAGCCTCCAGGACATAGCCCAGTGGTGCAAAGGACAGGAGTGAGGTTATCTCACGCCTTGCTGGCAGTCGCAGTGTGGGGGTTAAATTCTTGAGACATGGAATTGAACTCCTTGTAGGCGCAGTGTACAGGTAACTCTTGTTCCCTGATCTGTTGGGGCACATTGCGCGATTTACCTCCCTTACAAAGCTCTAGGAACGGGGTAGTGAAAGCCCTCAAGGTTAGGGTTCAACCTTTTTTTTTTTAAATAAGTCAAAATTCCTCATATTTAATTGAACCCATTATTAAATGTCTCTGTATCATTTAGACCAGTGTTAAAGTAGTACTAAATAATATTATTCTTACTCTTCTTTAAATTTTTTTTAAACACATATTCATCCAATAAAACAATCTTAATAAGTAATTCCAAATTTTTTCCTACCTTTTTATCATACATTTATTTAAAAATCACTATCACAAAATATATTTCTCTCAAAAGATGAGACTTAAACAAATAAAAAGGTTGAACCCCAACCTTGAGGCTCCCACCGTCCTGACCCACCTCGTCTCTGGAGCATCGTGAATAAGATAAATTTCGGGATGTGCCTTAACAGGTTAGGGAACAAGAGCTTGCCCGTACACTGATGCCCACAAAGAGTTCAATTCCATATCTCAGGAATCGAATCCTCACACTGCAACTGTCAGTAAGGCTAAAATGACCTTACTCCTATCTTTTGCACTACTGGAATATGCCCCGAAGGCAGAGTTAAACAAATAAGTATTAAAAAGAAGCGTACCTTATCTAAAAATGATCGTCATCAACACGTGACATGTTCTGTTCACTTATTATTATGCCGCACGACTAAATGTTAACGTTACTTGCCACGTTCTAATCAAACCAATTTAAAAGTAAACTTATAAGTAAATATATATTTTATATCTATATATTATGGTATAGTAGGTTGAGCCTATCCCAATCCCACAGCCTAGGATTTGTGCATCGGCCCAAAGTATAAATGTGTGGATTTAAGTAATTCCCCTTGTACAAAAGAATTACTGCCAAAATTGACACACATGCAAGGGCAAACATAGATATTTTGAATTAGAGGTACAATCAAATTTTGTACAAATTGAATATTTTTGAATGATTTACACTTGATCCAAGAAAATGTAAATTTATATTTAGAAAACATTTCTTCATTAATATTTTGCTTATTAAAAAAATATATATTTATGTTTAAAAAATTTATAGTGCATTTGATACAAACAATCAATTCAAATAGTCGAAAAGAAAAATATATAACCAATATTCAATACTAATAATCAATCAAATAAACACAATTCGTTAAATATAAGTTAAATTGGATATAATCATTTCGGACACATTCTATATACATAAATTTGATACGAGAAAA